ATTTTTTATATATGAAACTCCCAATTTATCGGAACTCGTACTTGTGTGAGAACATAAGTAATAGCATGCCCTCTTGATTGGCCCACTATATGAATAAATGAATTAAACAGCAACAGATGCACTTGATGAGCCTTAGGAAAAGACATATAAGACATGAAATGAACACGAGTGGGATCTTAGCTGTTGATATGCATGCATAACTTAATACATGTATAATAATAATTGAGCATCACAAAGAACAGAAAATATTACCTCAACCAGTCTTCCTTCTTTGTTTTAGCAATTTCTTCTTTTATATCTTTGCCACTAACTAAACCAGTTTTCCGCAGCTCTSTCAAGGAACCTGATTCCTTCACAGGTTTTCTTGGTGGAGAAAGGTCAGAAACTGATACCGATTGTCGATGAGGATCATCAAGAATTTGATGCCTAGCCTCTCTCYTTTTTCTTGGGGGTGAAAGATCTCCCACTACAGATGCACGTGGACGATTTTCATTAGAGGATTTATGATGACCCCGTCGAGGAGGAGAAAGATCAGAATTTACCAACTCTTGAGGGCGACCCTTGCGGGGAGGAGAAAGATCAGGCTCCAACTTAAAGGACTSTGTTAGTTTCATCTCAGGTTCTGGTGATGAAGTGTGAGCATGTTTAGTTCTGTGTCGTGGTTTTGTCGTATCTGAATCTTCTCTGCCCAACCTAAAAGGCTTCATGTTAGGTTCTGGGGATGGTGTATCACAACGAGGCCTTCGTTTACGAGGAGGTGAAATGTCAATATCATGGCCATGTTTAGCATCCTGGGTGGTCTTAAGCGGTGATCTTCTCCTAACTTCTGGCGACATAGGTTTCCMACGGCGCCGTGGTGGGGAGATATCATCAGCATTTCGTCTGTCAGACTCCATTGCTTCTGGGGAAGGTGTATCATTCCGRGCCCTTCTTTTCCGAGGTGGAGAACTGTCCGAATTCAGTGTCTTTATAGACAGACCCAGTTCATGTTCTGGAGAAGACGTATCGTCATGAGCACTACGTTTACGTAGTGGAGAGATACCAGAATTTAGCTCATCCAAAGTCAAGTTTTTAGCAGTATCAGGGACTGAAACCCAACCGCTTCCATCCTCAGAAATGGCACCAAAAGGGCGCCGGGTTTTAAGCTGCTCTAATCTCTTCATTCGCTTAACTTCAATATCTTCATCAACTTGCGGCTTCTCTTCATCTGTACATCACAAAGCCATTTATATTTTAACGAAAAACAATAGAATCAAAACTGAACAATCTACCGAACCAGAAATTTTCTTGGCATACCTTGTGACTCGTCATCTTCTTCTTCAACCTCAATTGGCTTTTGCCAAACAGGATCTTCGTCCACAACTAGGAAGCCATTCATATCAGGCCTACTTTTCTTTTTCTTTTTCTGCTTCTTCTGCTTTTTCTTCTCCTCCTCCTCATTATTTCCGTATCTTTTAAGATACTCCTTAAGTGAGTTGGACCCTGACGATGGACCTACCATGGTCCTTGTTCAAAGCCTGCTCCCAAAAAACCATTATTATTTTTAGAGGTGGACTCAAAGTTGTTAAAGGCTCAAGCCGGACTTAGGCGCAAAGGGGTCCCGGGGCCTAGGAATGTGAGGCGCATCTTATAAAAAAATATACGTATATATATACACACACAGAGTTATACACAGCTCAAATATGTAGAAAGTACTCCAGTGCAGCAGCCAGCAGTACTTCGATAGAGGCAGAAGGGAGAAGGGTTTAAAGCATGAGCCATGAGGGAGAAGTTTTAAGGTCTGGGTATTTATAGAGAAAGAGGCTTGAAGTTATAAAGAAGTTTTAGGGTTTGACTTATGTCCTCTGTTTAATAACTCTTTCTTAAAGAAGCCTAGGAGATAAGAAGAAGAGAAAACTTATTTAATATTGGGGTTTGACTTGGTATTAATAACTCTTTATGTGGCGTGGCTAGGCCCATAAGGCGCCTCAACCAAGGTGCAGGGCTTTAGTGAGCCTCGTGAATAYGGCTAGCCTTAAAAAAGCCCAAGACCTTGAGCCTTATGAACCTCAGAGCCTAGGCACGCCTCAGGCATGCTTTTAACAACTATGGGTAGGAATGGCAACAGGCCGGGTTCGGCCGGTTTTTAGGGTCCCCATCCCTAAACCGTTAACCATAACCATCCCTGTAACCATCTCGATCCCCGTCAGGGATCTTATCGGAGATCCGCATCGGGTCCCCACGGTTTCCCCGATCCCCGTTGGGGAACCCATTAAGGATAAAAATAACTGTTAACCGTTGGTTTTATCYGAACCGGGAACCGGCCTGGAAAAAATGCAAGTTTCTCAAACAAAAATTGGGAATAAATCATGACAAAAATAGGATTAAATAGTGGAATTTGACCACATACACATGATTAAACATAATCAAACCAAAAGAAGACCAAAGTKTCTAAAACATGAATACATGATGAACCCAATTACCAACAAAAATGTCTTAAATTGCACTCCAWAATTAAACTAGAGTTTAGATATAATCCAACTAACATCACTAGAAGTTACCAAATATCAAAGGTAATAAATTATACTCTATCCTTCCATAGTGCAAACATCAAGTTCTAAATATTTCAGAGCAACAATAATAYCAAGTTACCAACCCTAAATATGAACATTATGTAGAGATTAGGAATATTTTATAGCAACAACAATATTCACTTGGGGTTAGGGCAGAAACATAATAGGAACAGATCTAAACATTATGCACAGATGGAAGAAACATTGATTAGGAACAAAAAATCAAGAAACATAATACGAACTAACAGAATTGTGTTGTGAGCAAAATCAAGAAACATAGATGGAAGAAACATAACCTATTTACCTGTGACTAAGGAGAGACCGATAGCGACAAAGGAGAGACCACGAGCGGAGCTGAGAGCGACTGAGACCGAGAGTTCACGACCCGAGCGATAGGGAGCGATTGTCGATCGAGGTTTGAGCGATTGTGGTCCGTCATCCGTGTATGGTCGACTCCTTTTTCTTGATTTCACGATCAGAATTGGATTTATGGATCCAACTTCCAAGTATGTAACTGCAATCCGTTTCTATCTAATTGAATAAATTAGTCCATTACTCTATTTGGGTTTGGGCTTGAAATTTTTTAATGTCTAATTAAAAGCCCACTTAATATTGTTCCCGCCCCCGTTCCCATTAAGGTCACCGAAAATCTCCTAGATCCCCGCCCCCTCCCTGTTACGACRTCCCCGAACCCAACCCGAAATGTTTGGTTTTCGGTTTTCACCATCGGTTTTGGGTTCTTTTACCATCCCTACCTATGGATGGACTTGGGACGATACCAAGTTTTTTCACCAATACTGTATACCAACCAATTACAAGTGGTATTAAAGTTTTATTCAGCATACCAACYAACTGTASTTGGTACCAACTTAATTGGTACAAAAAAAATTCAGTTGGTACATGTTGGTACTGGTTTTGTACCAACTTCAAGTTMCATGTGCGAAAACTTGTCATTTTGTTCAAATTTTGAGTAATATTTTGTGTTTGCAGATAAGTTTAAGAGTTCTTAATTGTAAGGAATAAAGCTTCCAACCATTCAAATCTCCGAACAAGAAAGTTGATGATACAAAACTTAAAAAACAATAACTATTTTATAATTAATTAATTTAATTAATAAATAAATAAGTCAGTAATATGGTACTATAATGGTARGTGACTTCCAATACCGTGTACCAATTACCAACTAAGTTAGCATACTTGGTATGGTACTATTGACTGATTGTAACTAGTACCAACTAAAATTGGTATCGATTTAATTGGTTCGGTTGGTACATATGTTGATTGGTTTGTTTTTCGTACAAAAATGTCACCCCTAATTAATTTAAGTACACATAAGAGTTGAATCATATAAATCAAGCATAAGCCTGACGACTAGGGGTATTAAATGATGTGAGTCGAGCTCAACTATTGATATACCCGACTCAAACTCGATGGTCATTTCTCAAACTCGAACTTGACTCAAAAACTTGTGCATAGTTAACATAGCAATTGTAATTTATTAAAGTTATAAATTTCATTCACCCTTCTCTTTTTATAACATCTATTTACCCTTCCTTTACCATCTCTCTTCTAATGTAAGACAACTCCACCAACTGTTTTATAGTTTTTTTCGTCTTTTTTTAATAATGATTTTAATTAAAAATAGGAATCGATTAGTTTTTAAAAAAATGCATAATTTTTTTCAAATTTCTAAAAAAAAGACTTTTTTATAATTTATATTTTAGAAATTATATTATAAAACTGATTATACTTTAAAATTAATTATATATAAAAAGATCGAGTATCTCACGAGCTTTTCGAGTCAAGTATTGGGTAGCTTGACTCGACTCGTTAWATGTCGAGTCRAACACRAGTTTSARGCGAGCCTAGTCRAGTCGAGYTTTGACCGAGTCGATCTCAAATAGCTCGCRAATTTTCTCGTGTCGTTTACTAATGACCCTAAACAAACAAAAAAAATCACTTCACTTGGCAACCCTAAAGTGGTGAACTAGATTCAGAATCTTAGGGGCCGTTTACTAAACGCTTACTTGGTAAGTGTTTACCGAATAAATTTCCTTATCAGATGAACATGACAAGGGCCAAGAATCTTACCGGGTAAGAGTGATGAGAATGATGGAGAGTCTTACACGGTAAGTGAAGATTACGACTTTTACCCAGGTAAGCACTTACCCGGTTAATTGTTGCATTCAGTATGTTTTGATGTACTAAAATCTTACTCATCAAAATAAATTATAGTGTTGACTCCTATAAGTAAACACTTACCGGGTAAGCATTTGGGTAAACAACCCCTTAGTCAGATTTTAACAATAAAAGTGAAGAGTGCATTCACTTTTAGGTACTCTTTCGTCCCAAAATAAATGTCTACAATGAAAAAAGCAAACAATTTTTAAAAATATATAATTATTACACTTTTTAATTAACTAAATGACAATTTTCCTTAATAATAGAAATTAAAGGGAGTGAGGGATTTCTCCATCTCAAAATTAAGGATATAATTAAAAAGTAAACATTACTTTTGAAAGTGAACACTTAATTAGAACGTAGGAGTATTTCGCAATCCCCATCTCCATCCCTATCCCTGCTTTCCAATCCCTATTCCCGTCAAGGTATAAGATTTCATCTCCATCGGGTAATCGGGGATTATATTTATACATTATATATACTCACTGATTTTCTTCCTATATTATTATACTTGGTATATATATATATATATATAATTAATACTCGGGTTAAAGTTCAGGGTCGGGGATGAAGGGTATTCTCATCCCTGACCCCATCCTCGGTTTATAAATTTAGGGATTCCCATCCTCGGTCAAACCAAGGTCGGGTATTGGGTCCACGCTAGGTGCGGGGCTTTTTGCCATCCCTAATTTTAGCACAAGAAACACAAAAGAGTTACTTTTAAGCACTTGAAAAACAGATTTTTATCTAAGGGAATTAATCATGAGCCACAAAGGATGAAATCCAATTTATTGCAACGATGATAAATTAATTCCAAATCGTAACCGAAAAATTAAATGAAAATGCAAATGAAATTAGATGAAGTAGACAAAAGCTTGCAACATAAACAATACTTGATCAGTTACTCCAAACTGAAATAGAGAACAAAAAATTCGGTTCTTAAACCGAAAGCTAGAGAGAAAATTAGAGTGATAACCAAAAGGTTGGTTTTAAGTCTTACAAAACCCACATATTTATACTACCATGAATTTTTGGGCTCTAAGTAACAAAAGTACAAGATGATATAAGCTCTTTCAATCTTACCAAAGCATCAACCATGAATGACCCAAGAGATGAAGCCCGACAGGAAAAAAAGGCTCGGCCCAAGAAACATTAATAATGTCACTCGAACATTGAAATCAACAACTTATTCCTCCAGAAAGCTGTAGTACTAGTCCATATCTACAAAAGTTAAATTTAAAGCACAATTTAGATTCAAATTACAATAAACTTCTAATAATTCATAGCTAGTTATAAACATAAAAAATACCATAAAACAAAGACAAGAGAGACTAAAAAGGGTATTTTTGGCCAACAAAAAAATGTTAAGAAAATAAGAGCTATAGGGTTAATAAATAATTAACACTTATCAGATATATGTTGGTGATAGTTTATATATCATTTACCTACTTAGTTTAAGTTTAAACGAGAGTTGGACTTTGACTTATGGGCCATTTACCCAATTGCTTACCTGGTAAGCGCTTACCAAAGTCAACACTATGATTTATTTTGATGCGCAAGATTTTAGTACATCAAAACATATCGAATACAACAATTTACTAGGTAAGCGCTTACCTGGGTAAGAGTCGTCATTCTCACTTACCGGGTAAGACTCTCCATCTTTCTCATCGCTCTTACCCGGTAAGATTATTAGCCCTTCTCATGTTCATTCGATAAGAAAATTTATCCGGTAAACACTTACCAAGTAAGTGTTTAGTAAGCGACCCCTTAGAATCAATAGTTAATGATTTCCACTTTTCCATGAAAATAGTATAAGTTTGAGTTGGGATGATTTTGTCATTGTCCAATGCTTCTACTAATTAAGTTGGCCTTCATTAAAATAGTCAATCCATTTAGTTAGTACGGCTAATTCACCTTGAAAGAAGGTCATCAACCTTAACAAGTCTCGTTTAGTGTAGATAGTCTAGATTTATGGGTGAAGTCGTGTCTTTAATTTAATTTTTAGTTTTTATTGTTTTCTTTATTTACGATGTTGTACAAATTATTGAAAATCCCATCAAAGTGGTATTCGAGTAGTTAGTTCATGATCTCAGATTTGCACTTAAATCATCGTCTCCCTGTGATCGACACATATACTACATCACCCATATACACATGTTTGCTATCTGTGTGGACTCTAATGGCATTGTTAAGTTTGGGTTAGAGAGACTGAAATAGCTATCAGACTTGAGTTTTCTTAAGCAAATAAAGGATTTATATAGCTTACGTACAAACTGAAATTCAGAGAAAAAGAAGGAAATACCTATTCTAGGGAAGAATCAATGATCGACTCACCCATCCCTATATGCCAGGGATTTTATTCAAACAAACAGAAATAACGATTGAAGGACTTGGTAATATATAACAGAGTCATATATCCATAGGATGAATGAACAAAGATTTGACATGCTCTATGAATTCTTCTCCCGGATGTGTGAAATTCTCTCCATCTCTATATAGATAGTTTGTCGTTCGAGTCATGTTGATCACACGCATTATTAAAGGCCTTGGAACTTCTTTAATGATGAGAGACTCTCGGTTTATGTCTTTCCACGCATCTTCGACTTTCTTATTAAAATAGTCATAGGCATCCTGTTCCGTGACATCATATTGTTTCATGTAAGTTTCAACACAAGATGCAACATGCTTTCTTTCCTGCTCCTCCTGCATTTTAGTAGTAACAAACTAAATATTTCATCCTTTCAAAACTATATAAATAATATATATATATATATATATATATGTGTGTGTGTGTGTGTGTTTATATGTGGGTCGATTATGATAAGAAGGCTAAATATCATGAAAAAAGTAAGAATGAAATGTTAAGGGAAAACCAATATATGGGAATCACTGAGAAAATCAAAAACCTATTTTGAGGATGCATACGTGAACCAATATTACAGATTATTTATAAGGGTTCATATAAGCAATTTCTTTCTTACCGAGGAAAGTTCAATTGAAATCTATTTTTCCGTTGTGAACAGGGGGCAAAAGAGGGTGCAACACATGTTCCTGATGTCCATATTCATCATGAATAATGAATGTTTAAATTATTTATGATGAATGATATACCATTCAAGATGAATTATACACCATTCATGAATCATGATGACACACCATTCATGATGAATAATATATTATTCATCATGAATAACACATGAATGTATGGGAGACATGGATCGCTCTTCTTTGTCTCCTCGTTCACAACAAAACTTAGGTTTTCAATTGATCCTGACCATATATATAAATGAAGG